TATGGCCTTAGCCTCGCCATTAATAAAGACATTATTATTATTATTATTATTATTATTATTATTATTATACATTATAGTATTATTTTCTTTAACACAACTGCTCTTTACGTGTCAAAGCCTACCAGCAGCGTTCCGGCCTTGCAGCCATAGGTTAAGGGGTAGGTGTGATTAGCACATAGCCATCCCTACGCCATGTACTGGTCTTTTCAAAATGAGAAGTAATCTTTCTCATCGTCACACAGCAACAGATACTGGGACATTGCAAGGAAAGCGCTCAATTAGTTTTTGCCAGCGACCGGAAATCGAACCCGGGGTTGCGCTGTGGAAAGCGAGAACGCTAACGAACGAGCCATATAGTGGATTTACATTCAGACTAAATACTTTGTACCAAATATAGTGACGTAATACAAAAAAATTTTACTTTACTCATTATACTGCTTGCTTTTTTGCCCTCATTCATTAATTCTATGAACATTTTCCCTCCTCCTCCCTCTTTCTCCTTCCCTCTCCTTCTCTCTCTCTCTCTCTCTCTCTCTCTCTCTCTCTCTCTCTCTCGCTCGCTCTCGCTCTCTCTCGCTCGCTCGCTCTCCGCCTTTCACTCGATCTAGAATCTTTCCCCACATTTTAACTATAAATATCCCCTCGTCCAACAGTGAGTGTGTCTGACAAGATGACAGTTTTAGATGACCTCTGCGTACACGGTAAAAACGTGATTATTCCGTTTATGATATTTGTGCTCGAATATTGTTTTATGCAATTTATATGTTGACAGTGTACACAAATCTTTACCAAATATTTATACTCAATCGTTATCGAATAACTATGAATTATCCATTTTTGTGTCCGAGGTAATCTCGGACCCAATGATTTCAGGTAGTCACATGAATGCACAACATAAGATTTGATAAGAAGTAAATGTTCACGTTTTTCCACAAAACATGCCAAAACATGATTTGATTCACGTTGAACAAAAATAAAATTACTTCCGTGCATTGACTGTATCATGAAATCATTTTTAAAAGGGGGATATTTAAGAAATAGCCTTGCCGTAAATGAAAACCAAACATTTTCAAGCTTATAACTTTTAACATAGATAATTTTACAACAAAATCTTATGCCATTTTTTATAGAAAATTTTGTCTCTTAAATTTTGTGTAGGTCATAATTTTCAGTAGAATTAATAGTTAAGGAAATACATGCAAAAAACAAAGAAAAACTCTTTCAAACGCCCACCCCTACACCAGCGTAACCCAACCACTTCAGAATTTTTAGTATAAAGTGCGGTAAGTATCATCAAACAATCAGCAGCCCAAATCCCGAAATTGGTGCAACAAATTGGGAAAAAAACTAATTTCGTAGTATCTTTCTGATATCACGTATGTAAGTACAACTCTCCACGAGAATTTCAATGGTGCAAAGCAGACGTCAACCCGACGATTAGTTTCGAAATTTGACGCTTGAAAACAAATGAAGCCCAAATCCCGAAATTGGGGCAAAAAATTGGAAAAACACTAATTTCGTAGTATCTTTCTGAGATCACGTATGTAAGTACTACTCTCCACGAGAAATACAATGGTGCAAAGCAGACGTCTTAACGACTATTAGTTTCGAAATTAGACGCTTTAGAAAAACTGAATCCCAAATCCCGAAACTGGGGCAAAAAATTGGAAATAACCTAATTTCGTAGTATCTTTCTGAAATCACGTATGTAAGTACTACTCTCCACGAGAAATTCAATGGTGCAAAGCAGATGTCTTAACGACTATTAGTTTCGAAATTAGACGCTTGAAAAAAAATCAAGCCCAAATCTTGAAATTGGGGGGGGGGGAATTGGAAAAAAACTAATTTTGTAGAATGTTTCTGAAAAGACGTATGTAAGTACAACTCTCAACGAGAAATTCAACGATGCAAAGCAGTCGTCTTTACGACTATAAGTTTCAAAATTATACGCATTAAAAAAATGAAGCCCAAATCCCGAAATTGGGGCAAAAAATTGGAAAAACACTAATTTCGTAGT